TTGCCTTGATTTTCAGTGAAGAAGTATTGTACTTCCCATTTCTCTTGAAAGCGGCGGCCCTCGCTGTCAACTTTTCTTGTTTTCTTTGCAGTTGCCATGGCAGCAATGAGCGGAGAACGGTTCGCGGCACGGATGCAGAGACTGATAGTATTAAAGTGGTGCTGCCACCACTTGGTGAAGGGAGGAATTACAGTTTTAAATTTTAGGATTTATTTATTCTGTTTGAGGGGCATGCCATAAATAATACATTAAAAAAACGAAGCTGCGGGCCGTATGAAATCTGGCCGCGGGCCGTGATTGGCCCCCGGGCCGGACTTTGGACATGCCTGATCTAATGTGTCCATGCTCTGACCCCCCTTGTCCTTTCAGGGTGGAGTCTGCAGGAGAACGATGGCTGACACCAGGTCTGAGGAAGTGTGAGTGTGTTCTTATCTGGTTCCTGACATCCAGCCGTCTGCCCTCATCGATCAGAGTGAAATTATACTGATCAGTGTTTGTTCTCTCCATCAGACTCCTGTCGGCTCACAGTCGACACCAACACGCTGAACAGGAGACTCAAACTGTCTGATGACAACAGGAAGGTGACTTGCGTGCAGAAGGATCTGCTATCATATCATAATCATCCAGACAGGTTTGACAGCTGGCCTCAGCTGCTGTGTGAGGAGGACCTGACCGGCCGCTGCTACTGGGAGGTGGAGTGGAGAGGAGGAGTTTCTGTATCAGTGAGTTACAAAAGAATCAGGAGGAGAGGATTTGCCAAAGACTGCATGTTTGGAGGGAATAATCAGTCCTGGACTCTGAGCTCAGAAGTTTCTGGTTACTCTGTTTCACACAACAACACAGAAATACGCATCCCCTCTTCCCCCTCCTCCCCCTCCTCCCCTAACAGAGTGGGGGTGTATCTGAACCGTCCTGCCGGCTCTCTGAGCTTCTACAGAGTCTCCTCAGACTCTCTGTTCCACCTCCACACCTTCAGCACCACCTTCTCTGCAGAACCTCTGGTTGCCGGGTTTGGGCTCTGGACTCCAGGTTCCTCAGTGTGTCTGTGCTGAGTATAAAGACCGTCCTCCAGTCAGGAAAAACTCTAAAGAAACGATCTGTGCACAGCTATCTCTGTCCTTCAGAAGCACGTTTTCATTTTTAAAGTTTGAGTTATTCCTTGGAAACATCTTCCTCGTCCAGTCCTCCAGAGTCCTGTGGAGGTTTGGCCGAATGACCCCCAGACTGTCAGGTTTCTGCATTCTTCTCTGGACTTTGAGGACTTATGTTGGTGGTGAGAGAGGCCAAAGGTACCCCTGAGAGGCTGAGATGATGGTCTGCTACAAGTCTTTCCCTGGTCAACTGTGGATTTCAATGCCTCTCTGTGAATGGCATCAGTAGACGGTCACAGATTCTCTAATGACATTCATCATCAGCCAAAAAAACACCCTCTCTTTCACATCTATCAATGTCTCACCCAGAACTTGATTTGTGGACTTTATAGGAGGATCAATTCTAAAACTCTGTTTTTATCTTTGTTTATTTGATGGACATGATTGTCATCGTACTTTGCTCACACACTGCTCATCATGCTGCTGATATAAGACACGGGCCGTGTGCCTAAATGTGAATATGTGTAATCCCAGGAAACAGTCGTCTCATCATAATGATCAAATCTTACCTTGGTCTGTGATGGGGAAGTGAACTTTCTGGGGTCCATGTTGAGTGTCGTTGACACTATAAAACAAACAGCAGTGATTCTTTGGTTGTTATTAACAGGATTCAGCATAAGCTCTTATTACAGTACAGTTATTTGACTGGCTTTCCCAAATGTAAACCGTTTTTACTGTTTTCTTTAAAAAACCTTTAATGTTGATTTATCGTATAAATAAAGTATATCAAAGATAACTCAATTTTATTCATGTGGAAAACAAAAACAAGGCCAAAGGTTATTTTCAAATCAAATATTGCACTTTGTCTATTTAGTCTTTGTATTATTTAAATGATCCACCTGCAGCAAACTGTCTGCTTCTTTCTGCATTTTGTCACCTTTTATCACTTGAGCTAAAGTCAGCATGAAAAAACTTTCTTAATGAACAATGTAAAAAAGAATATATGTACACAAATAATTTAATTAAATATTTTTACCTGAATAATGTGAGTTTTCCCCCTGAACTTTAGTTTCTGCAACAAAACACAATTATATTTAAATTTAGAATTACAATAAAAAAAAAAAAAGTTCCTCAGATG